GGGTCTTTATAAAGGTTTTCCCTGGGCAGAAAACAGTTAATATGGAAATATTTGTGTTGTGTTTTTATTCTGGCTTTATTTCAGCATGCCTTTATTCAACCTCCAATGATGAATGGGGAAACGCTTTATGCAAAAATTGCTCTCTTTCCACTTGGGATTATGGTGCCATTGTCTTTGTCTTTGTTGTGAGAGAAATTTTATTTTCACTGGTTGTTGTTTTAATTTTATTTTTACATGAATCTTTTCAGTACGTATATTTCTTAATAGTATGCAATAATTAAACAGCAGTCAGTTTTAATATGCAAAGACATGCTGTTTATTCATGTTGAGGTGTTCGTTTTTATGGAACTAATTTTAACTTGAGAGCAGCAGTTTTAGAACATGAGCTTCATCGAGAGTCACATACCACTAAAGTAGGTAGCCTACCATATTTAATGGGATATATGCACATGGACTTTTCATTTTCAGTTAGTCAGCCTCAGCGCTTCCAGTGAAAATTGTGTTTCCATTACAATATCGACACATTTAAGGTCCGATTTCTTTAAAAATGAGTGATCTTCACTGCCTGAGAAATATACGATATAAAGTGGGTCTCAGACCGGAAGAAGCACTCCATAAATTCTTTTCCGCGCTATGTCTTTAAAATATGAACATTAATGTTACCCCAGTATTTTTCAAAGGAGTTTTTAGTGCTAGCGTGCAGCTACTGACGGCGTTAACATTTACACAGTCTTTCATCTAGTTTTACGCTTGAACAATTAAATGAATGCTTAAATCTGTTTAACTGGTTGTATTTTGATAACATTACAACATCGATGCTGTTAAAGGAACCTGATGAAATTTAAAATAGTCACATAAACCTTTCACCGGAAGCATATCATTGGCTGAAAAAACACTAGCTGTGCCTAAATCCTGTTGAATTTACTTCATGGCCATTAAGAAAGTATGTTCTTGATATGAATATGAGCATAGTAAATGGATTTCAGACGTATCTGTCAGTTGGTTATTATCACATAGATAAATTCTCTCGCATGACATTGCCTGACAGTAAATTGTTCATTGAATACGCACTTCAGAATCTCACAGAAAGTCATCCGGATACTTTAGGTCTATCAATTTTTTAAGTACTATATAGCATGGATGTAAGTGATTTCAGGCGCAGCCATTATGTCATACAAGAGATGCTGTAAAAGATGCAAACTAAACATATGGAAAGCTGTAAGAGTCCGAATTGATCAGTTCTGTAGTAGCGCCTTACAAACTTTGCCATGCCATTATGAAAATGGAATGTGACAGTATGTTTCATTTGTAAGCATTTGGCTGTCCAATGTGGGGCAACAGTTTTTATGGAAGGGAATATATAATGTCTGATGTTTAAATATGTGCATCATATGCAAATATGGACTAAATTACACCGATTTCATTGGCTGTTGTGATTGACACACAGACAGTCATACTAATCATGGGATAGTCAACTTTATTTGAAAGAGACTTGCCCTGATTACCTTCCATATTATTTTATAGAGACAATGATTTTACAGTATGAAACAGTTGTACAATACAGATGAATTCTGACCCTTTTAGGCTTCCATACATTTGCCTTGCATCCTTTCCATTTCTAATCAAAATGTCCTAAAACTCTGCTCTCAAATTAAAAGTAGCTCAGGTAAAAAAAAGCAAACATGTCTCTTAAATTTCTCCATTTTGTGTTTACCCTCTCTATGATTGTAATGCGTCATATGTGTTTTGGCGGGAAGATTGGTCTGCAGACTTATGCTTGGTTTTCCCTTGACAACCTTCAACTAATAATCCCTTTACCTCTTTCTCCATGATTTCGTTCTGCAGGTGATGACACCTATCACGATATCTTCAGGGATTTCTCCCAAATGGCCTCCAACAACCCGGAGAAGCTGAAGCGCCGTAGTGCCGATATGAAATAAAGCGGCTGAGCAGCAGATGTCAGTGTTTCATCAATACACACACACACACACACACGTAGGCTCCAGCAGACCCAATGAAGTTCCCACATTCCACAGTAAACACCTCTTATGAAACGCTGCTTCATTTGGTTTATCTGGCCTACATGAGCGTGGGTCTAAATATCTGGGTTTTAGCATATTTATCCCAGCTTAGGCTTAGTTTAGGTCAGTTATTTTTTCAGGCACAGTCGTTATTAGGCTACTTCGCTTTGACCTTCATCATTTGAGTAAGTTTACACATCAGAAGCGATGAAAGCAACAAGTGGAGCAAAGCTAAGAAAAATGGTGGAGTATGTTTTTAATTTAAACAGCATTGAAATTAACCTTATTCAAATGATTTGATGCGCATCTTTTCATTCACCATATTGTGAGCCACAGTGTTATTGCAACTTGAATGTAAATGTTCCTTTGGGTGAGAGAGCCCTGTCTGCTTGGGTCTCCAGTATAATTTTATTTCAGTTTTTTTCTTTATATAAGACCAAAATATGTTTGAAATTGGTTAATTGGTGTATTTTGTACGCCACATTGTTAATTGAAATACCATGAAATGGTATAATATGTAACTAAATAAATGATTCATATAATAAATGACTCACTTGTATTTTTAAGCTATGCCACTGGTCAACTAGGACAACAAGGATTTTGCAATGACTTATATGAATGCTAAACCATTCAAATGTTTAGTGTAGTCAGGGTTCCCACACATTCATGAACATCAGATTCAATTTTTAGATCAAGATCCTGTAATTCACACAACTAGCATGTGCACCACCATAAAACTCATTCATGTACTTATTTACATTAAAAAAATGTCATATTAATGATGTTTTGAATGTCACTTAAAAATGTTGACCATTTTAAACAATCATGTTCAAAGGAATTTATTGAAATTTGTTGAATGCAATACTAGTAATATTTAAATGGGTTTCTGAAATATTGATAAAAAGAGCTTTATTTCATTGTTTTTTTTTTACAAGACTTAAATGTAATGTTTTTAAATAAAAAAATTCTATTTTTTTTGTTCAGTTTTTGACAGCAGCACAGTACATTTGTTGAATTAACACCATAAACTTTAAATTGAAGTCCTTTCAAGAACCCATGTTTGTTTTAAAGGTGGCCTATTATGAAAATCTGTGTTTCTAGTGAGACAATAATGAAAATTTTCGTCCCTTAGTTATTTGTAAGCGTGCTTTTCACCTACTACGTTTCTGGGACTTTTATTTTAAAAACATGCGGCAGTTTATTTACTGTGCGTTACTGGGCAACAACAGCACGAGGCACGTTAAAAACTGGCCTCAGGGACGCAAAAGGCAAGATTTACAGATTATACATTTTTCATTTCCACTCCAAAGAGCCATATGGTATGTTTTGTTACATCTTTTGGTAATTTATCATGATTATTGTGAAATTTAATGCGTTTGTTTCAACAGACACTGTAGACTGGTGAATCGTGTCAAATCACTCAGCTCAACTGTCATCTGTTTCGGCTGTGTTTTCTTTGAATATAGCTTAAAAATACAACAAGATACATCTCTATCACTCTCTGTTAGCAAGTTTTATTATTAGTTAGCTTTTATCCAGAGCAAAACAGGTTAACTTTACTCTGATTGGGTTTATAACGGTCCGTGTTCAGCGTACATCCTGCTGAGCGTTTGCTAAGTCAGAGCTGAGCTCAATAATATTCACGACACGAGCCATATATGGTCAATCATGGGCCTTCTGATTCTCTGGACATTTTTTGAGTAATTAATTAGCTTATTAAACCGCTTCTGTATATTTTTTGAGCTTACCGAAGCCTTTAACCTACTATGTAGATATCAGAAAACAATTTAGCTTTTTAAACCCATGCAGTATTCATTCATTCATTCATTTTTTTGTTGGCTTAGTCCCTTTATTAATCTGGGGTCGCCACAGTGGAATGAACCACCAACTTATCCAGCACGTTTTTACGCAGCGGATGCCCTTCCAGCCACAACATACAAAATGTCGGCCTGACAAATATCTCAATTAAGACAGGTATCTCAAACTGTCAACAAATTGTAATTTTAGCGCAGCCTCTTTAAGCAGACGTATGTCACTCGCTCGTACACGTGTAGAATCTACAGCTAACAGAGAGACGTCATCTGGCAAACTCTGCATCAACCTGAACTTCTTTCTGAAAGACCAACGTGGCCTTGTATGAATGAAAAGAAAGAATGTTTCTGAAAGGGCTTCTGCCAAAAATGCAGAATCAAAACTTTTCTAAACCCTGAATTAATATCGGAATTACTTTTGTACGCTGGAGGGAAATGACGTTATGCAGTTCAAAACAATGATCTGAAGGGTGACACCACGGATGTATTTCTTTAAGACGAGTATGTTTTAAAACTATTTTAGCCACGCAAAACTTATGTAGACTGTCTATATGTCACAGTTTGTAGACTGTGTTGTTGTTTATGAATGAGTTTATATGCATGGAAGTGTTTCTGTTTTTAGCACTCCTTTTATCTGATCTAATTTTTATGTAGTCTAATAACAAAACAAGTAAATAGTGCTCTTCCACCTAACTAGCCTTGCTGAGGTGAAGTTTGATTTTGATTCTTGAGGACTGTCAATAACTATGCTTAATAAAGAGCTAGTCTCCATAGAGTTTTCTAATTGGTGAATGACATGGTCTAGTGTGATATCTAACTGGTGCGCGTTCATGACTTAATGAAGTCATGGCTTTGGATGGCAGGGGAGGGAGGTAAAATTTCTAAGCTATCATGCTAATGCTAGCATTCTGGCAGATCACCTACTGCACCTTTAACTGTTAGAAAATGACAGTAGAGCTACTATTTTGAAAATAAATCAAATAACCACAAAATTTTTAAACTTTCTATACATCGAGAAAAAGTAACACAAAGATTTTTAACACTGACAATGTTTCAGATTGTTGACATCATCACAGACTAATCTCTGAGGAATTCCATTGGAGACTAAAGAGGAAGAAGCTGAAAATACAAAAGCCCCCTATCTCAAAAATAAAAGACAAGACAAAAAATAAAGTGTAGAAAACAGACATAGCATTTTTATTGACGACATTAAAACATTGTTCCAATAAAACCCAGCTGTCTTGTTATGTGCTTTCCTGGAAAAATAAAGCGTAACAGGCACATGATGTTGGCTGGTACTGTGCTAAAAGGTGAAACTACCCGATTGGCTCGCACAGTGAGGTCTTTTCAACCTTTAAATTAGATCAAAAGTCAACCTGCACAGCGTAAAGCTATAAAGTTCAAAGGGTCAGATGATGAAATGTTGCTAAATGTTATTTGGAGATAGACTGTACTGAGGCAAAATGACATCTACAGGCCAAACTGCATTGTAAAATTGCATAACTACAGTGCATCTGAAGGCAATAACAGTCATGAGAAAGACATGAGAAAGTCAAGTCTTTAAACAAAGTAAAGTCTGGCAGTGGCAGAGCTCATTGACTCGGTCTATGGAGATTAAGGCTCACGTGTGTGGTGTTATAAGGAGTGCGTCTTAAAACATCATTGACTATTCAAGGGTTTCCCATGGGAAGCAGAGGATTAGCAAGACTAAACTTACACCAGTTTGTGCACAGTAAACACTTTAAATAATTTAATGTGCAACATAAAGGCTTCAGTGTGCAGCACTTTGGTCAATGATTTATACATGAATTTAAATTAGTGACACTGGAAAATGTATGTCAGTAATCTCTCTGAGACTTTGAGCTGGAAGATCACAGTGAAACACACAATATTCTCTTCAAAAATACTATAAAATATGCACAGTTTGGAATATTACATGATGCAACTGAAAAGATGACACCAATATACAACAGTGCTGGTAAATACAAAGTACATTAATTCAATCATCACATTTCTCCAAAAGCAAGAACAGACCAGCTTAGACAAAAAGGAAAAAAGAATAATGCTCAACACAAGGAGAAGAACAGAATAAGTTTTTGAAGTTAGCATTTAGCTTTCTAGTGAAACCACAAGAGCTGTTAAAACTCGTAGGTCGAAAATAGCAATTAATTAGTAATAGCAATGTTGCTAACTGCTATTTTCAACATAGCAAGTTCCTGCTAACAGTTCTTGTGGTTTCAGTGGCCTAAATTACTTTGTTTTAGTACCAAAAAGTATATCTTTCAGTCATCATTTTCATGACTATCAACAAGCCAGCTGAAATCAAATGTATGTTATGTGCAAAACAGTGACATAATATTAAATTAGCTTCATATGAATGCAGTTACCATGCAGCCTCTAAAGCCAACTTGCTTGTTTGTGTAAATATTTTCCTTTTGTCTTAGCTATTGCTTAATGTCACACATACCTGACTTGATTACTGTGAAGCCCTCAGGGTTTACTGGCCAAACAACACATTAATGTCAATGCTAGCAGCACAAATAACCTTTTATATTCATTCACTCATTCACTTTCGTTCGGCTTAGTTCCTTTATTTATCAGGGGGGTTGCCACACCGGAATGAACCGCCAACTTATCCAGCATATGTTTTACACAGCAGATGCCCTTCCAGCTGCAACCCAGCAATAGGAAACACCCATACTCTTTCACATACATACTCTACAGCCAATTTAGTTTATTCAATTTGCCTATTGCACAAGTCTTTGGACTATGGGGAAAACTGGAGCACCTGGAGGAACCCAGGTGAACACGGGGAGAACATGCAAACTCCACACAGAAATGTCAACTGACCCAGCCGGGACTCTGCTGTGAGGTGACAGCTAACCATTGAGCCACCATGACACCATAACCTTTTTCAAATATCATATTTCTTGATAAACAACTCAAAAACAGTTGAGCTGAAGTTAAGGTCAGTGGTGTGCAAGAAATGAAATAATATTGGGCTGAAGGTGTTAGCATTTAGCCCATCCTCATTCCTTCCTTTATTGGTATTTCTACCCTCTAGCACCAAACATACAGGTTTAAGAATTTCTCTTGCCTTTATTTTAGCTATTGCTTCAAGTGACAATATCATATGTGATGACTAGAGCCTAGTCAAAATGAAGTCTATATTAGCTAGTAATGCAAAGTACACCTATCAATCATCATATATTTCTCCATATGCACCAGACTAGCTAACTGTCGTTTACATGTACAGCTTGCCATACTGCTAGCAAATACTAACCTCTAGCAAAGTTGTTTTTGCCTTTGTCTTAGCTTAATGTGACAATATGTCTGATATGTAATGTTAAGGTGTTTAGCTTGTTTTTAGTGTTGCAAGTTCTTGCTAACAAGCCCTCAGTTTTCACTAGCCAAAAAAAAAAAAAAAAAAAAAACATCTGCAACAATGTCCCAAAGTTCATAGTTTGATCATCCTATTTCTAAATGCAATGTAGGAGCAGACCAGCTAAATCAATGCATGTTGTGTGTGTGTGTACAGAAAAAGTGTAATCATTACACAAAGAGCAGAACAGGATTAGCCTTGTACCTAACAGCATTTAGCTTGTTTTACAAGCTATTACTAGAGTACAAAAACTAGCACAAAACAAGAAATAGTTGTGCTTTTCACCTTAGCTTTGTGAAGTGATAACCTCTGAGCAGTTAGCTTGTTTGTAATCTAACAAGTGAGCAAAGTAAACAACATCTATGTCATGTTGGTAATACAAAGCACGTTATTCAGTAATCACAGTTTAGCTAAAACTGTGTAAAAGAGTAACAGAATAAGGAGCAGAATTCTAATTGTGGAGTTAGCAATTAACTGGCCTTCCTGCCCTTTTACCTGAAGAGCATCTTGCAACATTACTGGCTAAAGAAGATATTTTGCCTTCATGCTATATAGCCTGATGTGACAACATTTCAGAAACACAATGACTAAGCATTTAAAGCTTGTTTTAGTGACTAGCAAGCTCTTGCTAGCAGCCCTCACTAGTCATAAATACAAAAAGCCCCTCAGTAACTGCAACATAAACCACAAACGTAAATTATTCCACCCAAACCTAAAGATGTACAAGTACACATCAGCTTCCTGTTTGAGGTCAAATATATCACAATGACTTACAAAATATCTTTAATTACTATATTATAGAAGTCATTTATAAATAAATAGCATTTCTGCCAGCATGCTCTTAGAAAAAGTAATGTGGTGGACCAACGGTACAGTGTGGTGGTGTTTGATATATGCCATACTGTACAATATCCTCCAAATACTACGAAACAGACATGGCCAAATGAAGTCTTTGGACAATAGGAGTACAAATCCTAACTTTGGGATCTTTTTGCATTGAAACTAAAATATTAACATGGAAACAGAAAATATATTACAATTAAATATAATCATAATAGCGTCTCATTATACTAAAATTTATATCACTGACCACTAATCTGACTGTGATATCTGTGCTAGCTCTGTACTAGCATTGTTATGTAATCAAAAAGAACAGCAAGATTACTAAAGATACAGGAATGATAAGGATGTATGCTGATATTGTCCTTTTATTTAAGTTTTTTTGGCACAAAGTTTGTTGCATATCATGGTTTTACCATGCTGCGTGTCAACTTAAGAAATTATAAATATAAGCAGATCTGACATAAGTTAACATATAGACGTAAAGTGACTGCTGCTTTTGAAACTCCAAAACTTAGTTTGATTGTCCTCACAGATTTTAGTGGCATTGTGAAAAATCTTATTAACATGTACTTAAGAAATGAACTGCAAAAAAAAATAACACAACTAATATTCCAATGCCAAATCCTATCTGACATCATGTCAAATAAACGACTATAAAGCTCGCCACCGCTAACAAAATCACAATATTTATGCAAAATTAGAACGATGCGTCATTTCCTGAGGTATTTCTTCTTGTTCTTGCACTGAATGTGTAGCATCATTGCTTAAACAGACCTTTACCTCCTCATCTGAGTAGGGTATATGATCCCCGGAGCACAGCGTTTCATTTATAGCATTAGAGGATGTAGACTCTCCGATTAGTCCGTCTTCAGCAGAGCCTTCCTGAGATTTCTTCTTTGATGGTGAAGGAGCTGGAGGAGCCGTGCAAGACCAAAAATAAGGAAGAGTCATTGCAATTAGCATACCTATCATGAGGAAACTTCCAGCGGCGATAAAGGAAACTGTGTATGTGCCAGTGGAGTCCTTTAGCCAGCCTAGAATGAGAGAAAAAAAACTACTTGTTTAAACGAGATTTTTTGTAATTGTCGTTGGTGTACTGTAAAACTTAAATAAGGTAACTGCACTCAAAAAGTTATATGAACTTAGAACTCAAAAATGATTGGTGCAAGATGCTCGGAAGTTAAGCTTGCAATTTTTTCCCATATGGTAGCTTACATTTGATTGAAACTGTCCAATAAGGTAAAATAAATGAAGGGTGGGGCATAAATTTGTCTTTTGGAAACTGATTGGATAATTGGAAGATGGGTGTGTTACATACAAAATGGAGGAATATTGAGAAATTGAATTCCTCATATACTGGGAGGGGATGGGTGATTTGTCCTAAAATCTATTAAACATTTTAACTCGATTATGATTATTTTTATTTTATTTAATATATTTTGTTTTGCACTGAAAAGTTTTATATGCTGTCTAAGGGTATCTCTGGCGCAGCTTCCAGTCATCGTCAATGTAATGCAAAGAGGCTCAAGAATGAGTACATCGTCCTAATTGGCCAGAGATCAGATGTGGCAAAGTGGCCGCAGAAGTAGAAATCAGCCACAGCCCTTAACAGAGCGGGATCATATTACACATAAGGAAAGTAATTGAAAAAATCGTCCTGGAAACATTAGGTTCTAGATCAGGTGTGGGCAAACTTGATCCAGGAGGGCCAGTGTCCTGCATAGTTTAGCTCTAACCCTATTCAAACAGACCTCCCTATAGAGTTCAAGTTATCTTGAAGACACTGATTAGTTTGTTCAGGTGTGTTTGACTAGTGTTGGAACAAAACTCTGCAGGGACACCGGCCCTCGAGGATCAAGTTTGCCCATCCCTGTTCTAGATTATAGGTTCTGAATGTCAATTTCAATTACTTTTTAATTAAAAGGCATAGCCCTATCCTGGGACTTGTGGAGCTGCACATTGAGGGATTTGCACTTCATTGTGAAAATTAAACCACACTTAACTGAACTAAACTGAATTTCAACTCTGAAAACTGGACTGACAGTTTTAATTTACTAGAACTTTTATGTAAAGCTGCTTTGACACAATCTGCATTGTAAAAGTGCTATAGACATAAAGATGAACTTAATTTAATATTCCCCCATTTTGTTTGTAACGGCCATCTTCCAATTATCCAATCGGATGGACTAATAGACTAAAACCAGCCAGAAACAAGACCTACCCTAGCAGCCACTCCAAAAAGGCATTCCATTTGACCAGAAGGGAAGAAGATGTCAGGGGGGTAGCGAAGGTTATGGCATTAGGTAAAAGATTATGATTTTTACAATGAACTTAAACTGAGCAGAGAGGATTTCTAGTTCCCAGAATGCTTTGTGCTAGGACACACCAAACCTCCATCAACGAACTAGCAGTGGCAAAAACTGAATAAGTTGCCTCCTCGCATCAGCTGTGTCTGGTCCTGTCTAAACCAAAAAGCTGTGCTTGAACACACTAAACAGTAGTGATGGGTCCTTCTGGATTGATTTGTTCATTTTGACTGAATCTTTTAAATTACTCAAGAACTATCACTCTCAGTCAGTGATCCATTCACGCATGTGCACATTTCTGCAGGTGGAGGAGAAGCTTAGTTCTTTTTTCGAGTTTAGGCTAGCTGTAGATGTGTTTGGAAGAAACTCAAAATTTTAATTGAATAAAATGAGTCCAAAAACAGATTATTTCATCTTGATGAATGACAATCAAAGGTCTGAGTCAGTAAAATAAACCTAAATTCCCATCACTACTACACAGATAACTTGAAAACATACTGTATTTTCTGCGCCATAAAGAACATACAGAGAATGAAGCTTTCCACACATGCAGGGGACAGTATCTGTACTGTCAATCCACAGAGGAAACCAGAACTAGTGCTGCACACATACAAGCTATAAACAAAGCAGCATTTACATACCATTTTCACAGTACTTCTGGCTCACTGCAGAGGGATTTGCTTGTGCAAATATGTCTGAAAATCTGACTTACAGTTTATTTAAATTTAAGAAATCAGACAAAACGAAATTCGGCTTCTTTGTGTCCCTTCTGACTTATATTGTTTGCTTAGTTTCGTCAGTTTAGTTTGTGTTCTTGCTCTTTGATTCATAACTAAACAGCCAATAGGAGTGTGATGTAATGTAATGTAATGTTTTTATATAGCGCATTTACTGTATATGGCCATATGCCCAAAGCACTTCACAATCATGAGGGGGGTCTCTCCACACCATCACCAGTGTGATGAAACGATGGCAGCCACAGAACAATGGCTCCAGTGCGCTCACCACACACCAACTATTGGTGGATAGGTGATAGAGCAATTCAGGAGATGTGGATGACTGGGAGGCCATGATTAGTAAGGGCTGATTGAGGGAATTTGGCCAGGATACCGGGGCTCTGCTCTTTACAAGAAGTGCTATGGGATTTTTAATAACCACAGTTTAACATCTCGTCCAAAAGATGGGTGCTCACATTCACTGACAATCAATTCCAGCTCCCAAGCATTTTAACAATTAGACAAACACAATCTGACACGAGCCTGATGAGAACTGACATGTGGAATACAACAAACAAACTAGCCTGACTAGCCTGGTGTGTCCTTACCTTAGGGAAAACAGGTCTTGAAATGAAGCGTTATTGTGCGTGTTTGCGTATGATTAAGATAGGGAGACGTAAATAAGTCTGTAATTTTGGGGAATGTTGTGATATGTTGGAGGTTAAATGGAAGTTAAGATTGCCCTTTTATACCCTCATATCGTAACTTACATCCAATTGAAACTGTTCAAAAAGGTAAAAAGTGAAGGGTGGAGCATAACTTTGTAATTTGGAAACCAATTGGATCATTGGAAGATTGGTGTTACCAACAAAATGGAGGATTATTGATGAATGGACTGAAGCGAGGCAGAAAAAAAAGACATGTCCTGCCTGATAGTCCCTCCCAAATAGCATTCCATGTGACCAGAAGTGAAGAAAAATTCGAGGGGAAGTGAAGGTTATGGCATTTGATAAACGATCATGATTTTTACAAAATAAAAAAGTGCACAGATACATCGATTATAATGAGCACTATATACATTTTTTCAGATAAAATCAGGGCTTTAAGACGAAAACAAAATCCATTGAGTTCACTCTGAGCCCTTCCAGCCGCAACCTAACACTGGGAAACCCAAAAATCTTGTAGTACAAAATTCAAGTGAAAATTACTTCGTTGACTCAAAAGTTTTAATAAAAAATGTTTCAAGTAATCTAAACATATCAAGTTTGCAGTGTAATATCCGTTTGTGCATCAAACTAACAATAAAACGTGCCCAGAGTGAAAGCCCCTAAAACCATTTGTAACATCATATCCCCCAAGAAGTACCTACCAGACAATGGTGCCCCCAACAGTCCTCCAGCACTCTCTATAAGCTGCAAGAGGCCAAGAGCTCCCAGCACCCGCTCGATTCCTACAATCTCCGGCACCACAGCAAAGGCCAACGGTGCCATCGCTCCAGCGCAGAATCCGTAAACTATACTGACAAGCAGCAGTCCAGCGTAAACCACAGCCACAGGAATGAGCATCAGAGATAGGCCCAGTAGCCCGGTCCACACCACCAGCATGTGGAGCAAACGTATCTTGCCCAGATCTGAGGCCCAGCCGGAAGCCACGCGACCCACAATGTCTGCCACTCCAGTTATAGAGATCACAAAGGCTGCCTGGTACTCGGTGAAACCAATGTGGCGACTGTGGGCAACCAGGTGAACGTAGGGGATGAAGTAGCCAGCATTGAAGAAGGTGATGGCCACGGCGTACGTGACGAAGCCCCGGTGTGTCAACAGAGAGAGCTCGAAGCACTCGTAGATTCGGGAGAGCAGAAATGAGCATTTGTTGAGTTTGGTCGAGTTTTCAGTCTGAAAAGATAACATAAATGATTATTATTAGACATTGTTATTTATTATTGAAGTCAGAATTATTAGCCTAGTTTTATATTTTTCCCCAATTTCTGTTTAACGGAAAGAAGTTATTTTTCCAATGCATTTCCAAACATAATAGTTTTAATAACTCCTTTTTAATAACTGATTTATTTTATCTTTGCCATGATGACAGTAAATAATATTTTACTAGATATTTTTAAAGATACTAATATTTAGCCTTAAGGTGTAACTAGGTTAATTAGGCAAGTTAGGGAAACTAGACAAGTCATTGTATAACGATGGTTTGTTCTGTAGACAATCTGGAAAAAAATAATGCCTTAAGGGGCTAATAATATTGACCTTAAAATGTATTTTACTCTGGCCGAAATAAAACAAATAAGACTTTTAACAGAACAAAAAATATTACAGGAAATACTGTGAAAAAACCCTTGCCCTGTTAAATATCACTTGGTATATATTTGAAATCTTATATATATATATATATTTAAATCGCATGAGGGCTATTCATTTTGACTGTAAATGTAAATAATTCGAACATATTTTTTATTTAATTTTAATTATGCAAAATTGTAATAGTTGTCTATAATTAAACTTAAGATGAATTATTATTTAAGTAAAAAACTTAATTCTGCATGTTGGATTAAAATATTAATTAAATAGTATTTATGCAAATACTCCAGCTCAGACAGTAGCCAATTGTGTTTAGGCAGTTCAGAGTAATTAGGCAAGTTATTGTATAACGATGGTTTGTTCTGTAGACTATCGAAAAAAAATATAACTTAAAAGGGGCTAATAATTTTGTCCTTAAAATAATGTTTACATTTTTTTTATTTTTAGCTGAAATAAAACAAATAAGACTTTCTCTGGAAGAATAAATATTAGGTCCATAAATATTGGTAAATGGACACAATTCTAACATGTATGGCTCTATACACCATCACAATAGATTTGAAATAAAACATATAAGATGTGCTTTAACTGCACACTGTCAGCTTTAATTTGAGGATATTTGCATCCAAATCAGGTGAACACTGTAGGAATTACAATAGTTTACATATGTGCCTCCCACTTGTTAAGGGTCAAAAAGTAATTGGACAATTGGCTTCTAAGCAGTTCCATGGCCAGGTGTGCTATTACCTCATTATCAAAAATTACAATGAGCAAATAAAAGGTCCAGACACACTCTCTGTCAAGTGTTGATGCAATGCAATATGAAATACTGCAATATTTTAAAATAACTTTATGCTATTTTATCTTTAATTTTATTTCAATCATTCATTTTCCTTCAGCCTAATAGCCAACTATTCCAGCATGTTTTATGCAGTGGATGCCTTTCCAGCCGCAACCCTGTACTGGGAAAAACTCATACACATTCTCCCATTCACACACTCATAGACTACAGCCAATTTAGTTCATCCAATTGCCCTATAGCACATGTCATTGGGCTGTGGGGGAAACCGGAGCACCCAGAGGAAACACACGCCAAAACCAGGTGAACATGCAAACTCCACAAAGAAATGGCAACTTGCCTAGCCGAGATTTGAACCAGCATGGTTCTTGCTGTGAGGCGGCAGTTCTATTTCATCTTTTATCAATTTTTAAAACACTTTAAAAAGCTATTTATTCATGTAATGTATTTACTCCAGTCTTCACAATCTCACTATACTTGAGAAATAATTTTGATATGCTTGCTGTTTTTTTTTCAGAACTCTTTGATGAACAGAAAACTATTGTAACATTTTTAAACTGATCACTTTTGATCTGTGCAATGCACACCATCTTAATAAAATCATTATTTCCTTTTTAAAAAATTGTAACTAACCCCAAACCTTTAAACAGTTCATCAAAACATACCTTCACTGCCACTTTTGGAGTCCCCAGAGGTCGAATGAGCGCTCCGCAAGCAACCATGTTGAAGCTGAGGCCTCCAAGGATGAGCAAGGCCCCACGCCAGGCGTATGCTTCGACTAAATACTGAAAAAGAGGAGAGAAGGCAAAGGAGGCAAGACCAACTCCTGTGAAGCCCAGGCCCATGGCTAGAGATCTCCGCTTGGTGAAATACTGCATGACTGATGCCATAGTAGGGGTGAAGACCAGCGCCCACCCTAAACCTAAGACAAACAGAAAGAAATGATTCCCACTCAGTATCCTGAAATTGGTTAATAACAAATAAAAGCCACTCTTACATGAGCATTTACCTGAAATTAGTCCCATGGTCAGGTAAAGATGTAAAAGCGATGTTGCCTGTGAAGCCAGAATGAATCCCAGGCCTGAAAGAAATCCTCCCATCATAACAACAGGACGTGTTCCATACACATTACTAGCAGCTGCGCCTATTGGACCTGCATGCAGACACATATTTACAGTAATTAAGCCAAAGTCTGGTGCTTTACTACTGTAGGTTGTGTTTGTTAAAGTGTCCAGATATTCTTTAAGTGCTTCTCTTTTTATTTTGAGGGTCCCTAATAATAAGTTTGCATGCATCTATCGATTTAAGCCATTAGAATATCACAATCACAAAAGTTTAGGTTAGCACTTATTTTACAGTATGTAAACCAAAAGTTATATACTGCAAAGCCCAGAATTATTTTTACCGCTTCCAAATTCTGACTTAAAGATCCTCTATTATGGTTTTTTGAAAATGACCTTCCATGCAGTGTGTAACACAGCTCTAAATGAATGAAAACTTCCAGCTGAGGTTTAAATCTAAAAGTGCACCTTGTTTAAATATATTGATTCTTTAACGAAATAGTCGAATAAAAGAATAAAGTTGGGTTCGGATCTTTTGTTTGATCTCATCGATGTCAATGCGGTACATCACCAAATATGTAGTTCCAGTTACGGTACAATGTGAACACGCTTTCACTTCAGATAGTAGCGGAGGCACAGGGGATCACAGAACTGATCATGACGCGAAGATGACGATCACTGACAGATGGGATTTAAGGGTTAAAGTTCATTTTCACAACAATACCACAGTATAGCCAACCTAGTGCTGTTTGTTTCTGTCATTTTTCTGACGATTGATAGAATAACTGAAGCAATGTGGGATTCGTCGGCCGTTTGCTATTGAAGGAGCAAAAGAGACTATGGGACTTTGTCAGACTTAGACAGGGACTTTGTCAGTAACTGTTACAGTTCAAATGGACCAGTTTCTTCTTCCTCTGGATTATAACATGTAAATGTCATGAAAATTGATGCCTCGTTTTGTGTAGTTTGCAAAATATGTGTTTAATTGTGTGTTATAATCGCTTGGGGGTGGCTTGTGATGACGTATCGATTATAGATCAGTGCTTGTACTGTATCTCTCAGGTTAAATTTGTATGGGCCTGGTCACATATTGCGTCCAAAACTATGTTAAAAACATGACGCATGCTTCTTTTTTTTTTTACAGATTTTATGTGCGATTCTGAACTGGTGACCCTCTGCTGTTTGTCTTTGCTATGGCCACCATCAGCTATTCCTCACGCGTAGAGCTGTCAATTTTCAAAACAGTTCAACTTTTGCCACTGTGTACATTAATATTGAATGTGTGTCATTGTTATCACTTGGGGTTATGATTGAAAGTAGAGTTATATGCTGGTGTTTAACTGCATTGCTTTTTTGGATTCCTGCATTCGGCTCTTACATACTCTGTGCTACTGTATAACCGTGGTGGGCATTTCTCTCTGTCGTGCGCTGAACCCAATCGACCAATCACAATAGACAGAGTCATCGGTCCAATCACTGCAGAGTAGCTTCGTGCTAAGGAATGGTTTGGGAACAAATGAATTGGTGAACGATTTATATGGGAGTCACTGGGATAATTAGGTAAAAAATTAAATGCATATTATAAGACAATGAAAGAGTTTTTTGACCTTGCACGCATGTCAGCATGTTGTTGGAGACCCCTAAAACCAAAATATGACCTTTTTAATGCAAAATAGAGGCTCTTTAAAGTTTCTTTTATTCAACCAGCAAGTTTGTTGTTTTTTTGACTGGAAATGACACAGGCTTCTCCCAAAAGATGATAAGACGATGTATAGAAGGCATGATTGTGGATAAAATATTTCTTAGCTTTGATTTACATTCTGCCAGGAGTATGAATAATTTTGGTCTTGACTGTAACTACATTGGTTTGTGATAGAGGTTAACACTAGAACTACCCAGGCGTGTTGTCATTTTGACCATTTTTAAAGGTTTTAATATAATAAGTTTGTTAAATAAACCAATAAAATAATAGTACCCTGACTTCCTAAATCTGTGTATATTTCAGAGTTTTCCACTCCTGAAAGGCCATAACGGTCAAATTGACCTCATACATTTCAGCATCTACTACTTTTCCCATGTGCTTGCCTTATTAGCCTAACATACAGTAACTTTCTTATAGCAGAAACATATCTTCATTTCAGTCAGGTTTTTCAAACTTTCAAAAAACAACATTTTTGACATGTATTGTTGGTGATCGGATGGGTGTCCGATTGGGTAACTTCATATGGACATAGGACAATTAAGATTTGTTTAAAATGATTTAAGACCTACAACACAATATTTCAACCAATTGGAGACTTTTTAAGCCTAAAATTTAGTTTTTGAAATTTAAGATATTTAAGACCCCGCAGTCACCCTGTTATATGAATGACTGATAAAGCCATCCTAGTTCCAGTGTTAAGGGATTTTACTTGTATTGTATAATATATCTGTTAATTAACAGTTTCCGTATTTTGTGATTACATTTATGAATTGCATTACGGGATATTAATCTCTGTTCTGTTGACTTTTGATATTGAAAATTCAACTTAGTTTACTTCAGTGACTTTTATTGTCATTTTAGTATTTTGAAGTAATTTAAGGTATAAGAAATTAAATAGAGAGAAATAAGTCTGTAAAATAACAGAAAATGCACTGGCAGTTTATTACCAGGTTTTGTATCATAATATCTGACACCAACTCAAACAATCTCTTAAAACTAACAAAAAAAGTTAATAAAAGTCCATTTCCCAGAGATGGGTTGCGGCTGGAAGGGCATCCGCTGCGTAAAAACTTGCTGGACAAGTTGGCAGTTTATTCTGCTGTGGCAACCCCGGATTAATAAAGGGACTAAGCCGACGAGAAAATTAATGAATGAATGAATAAAAGTCCAATTTTTTTCTACTTTTTAAGGTAAAAAGTTGTTGAAAGAAAGATCAAAGTCCCATAATGCAATTCAAAAGCATTGATTAAAGGAAGTAAATAAAAACATGAATTACAAAATGCGGATAGATTTTTTACAGTGTAGTTATTACTCAGCTTATGTAATGCCTGATAAGTGCATAGTATGTACTTGCAAAAAAAACTAATGTTTTGTTAAGATTACTCTTGAAAACATTAGCTAAATATATGCATACTAGTTACCAATTGTTTGCAATTTTTTTGTGAAAGTTGCACTAGAATAAACACATACTGCTTTAACTTGAAATGCTTCCTCTTAACAAGAGAAACCAACAAAAATGTTTGACAGTTAAAGCAGACGCCATTCACAGACAGACAATGAAGATCACAGGCTGACATTATTCAAATATGTTGCAGATCTAGACCAGTTAAGAAAGCGAAACTGCAATTACAGATGACTCATTTCAGCAGTTGAGGATAATTTTTCTTCTTTCATATGACAATCACTTTCTTTGTCATTTATGGCTTTTAATAATCACAAGCAGCTACATTACACACAGCATGAAAGCTATTGTAATATTGTATAAAAGCATAGCGGGTCACTTTAATTTAGACATACACAGATTAAATCTGCATATCAACTTACTCATTAGCTGTTGCATGGCCAGCCCGATGGATGTTATCCAGGACACGGCCTGTGCACTCTCATCAAAGTACTGCACAAACTCCACAAAAAAGACGCCCAGACTGCGGATGAGCCCAAACACCAGGGCAGAAATCACGAAAAGAGCCCCCACCACCACCCATCCCCAACCACCATCAGGTGCTGCCCCCTGTGGGCACGGCCGCTGCTCTTCCTCTGTCTTCTGGGGCTTCTCCATCACTGCACTGAAGAGACACAAATTAGGACAAGACAAATGAGCAGATCTACTTAACAGGGCTTTACTAAAACGTCTAATTGTGACTATAAGCTGCAGATAAGTAGAAGTAAAAACAAAACATTAAAAAGCTATGCAAGATTGTTTTGATATTGCACAAATTACAGAACACAGATGAAGAAGCTAATTTCCATAATGATCAATGCAATGTACCAAAAGCAAAGCAAATTTAAAACAACATGACTCCATTATCAAAATATTCAGGCTATGTCATTTTTCTGAATTTTAAACATATGGGCACAAGTAAAGAAAACACTCTTTTCTTTTCTGTGTTTTCATTATTATGTTTTCTTTGATAAATCCAAAGATGGTTTGTTCTGGCACACATTGTTTGATTTTTTTTTTCATTTTCAGGTTTATTTGACAGTGACAATGCACATTAATAATACAGATGCAGATAGTTATACTAGTAAGTTCTTACCCTATGAAGATTAGCATAATGCCTTCTTTTAACTGTCACTTATGAGCCAGACAGTATCTGCAAACATTTTTTGCCATTTCTGAGCAGAATTTTGTTAAAATTAAATAAATCTGCAGATTTATCCAGAATGACTTTGGAAATATAGTTAGAAAAAACTTAAAACATGAAATAAAAATAATCACTTTTTAACTTTTACCTAAGGTTTACATGGCAAATCTAATTAGATCCCCTTGTTCTGTAAACAAATTAAGTATGTTATATAATATATTTCTACTAGAAGACAGAAAATATTACTTTACTAACTGAACTGGCCTCAAAGCAAAAATGTTTAACCTGATTACGATTAATGAATGATTATTTTAGTAAATATATTCACATATTACGAGAGATTTTGAATGAAGGGTGCATTACTTGCTTTTAAGTTAATTGAAGTAAACACACACTAACTACTATAAATGATTATTTATTGAACATCCACATTGAACAACTGAAGCAAAGTCATTTGTTCTTATCAGCGGCGATAAGTTTTAACAACAAGTTTTGTGCATGAACAGAGGAAATTGGTATGCGAGCAAAGAGATTTGCATGCTCGTATTACATGAATGCGTATGGAATTCGTTTTTCCTGATGATTCAGTCACTTTTAATCTTCCTATGAGTTCCAGTTTTCATTTCAGCAGCACTGTAAAAAATGCTGGGTTCCACGCAACATGAAGGAATTAAGTAAATTAAGTTAACTTATTAGTTTTTGCTAATTTAAATTGATTGAACATAAAACAATTAAGTTGTCTGAACAAACACTCAAGAATTGTGTTATTTTAGCTCATTTAATAAGTAGTTTGAACAAGCAGCAATTGTATTTTTTGAGCGAGGGTAATGTGATTCAGAAGGGAAATAATAAAAAATTGACCTGGAAAATTTTGAATAGATTCAGAATGATGATTTCGATTACTTTTTGATTAATCACGCAGCCCTATTACTTATATTTTACAAATTACAAATTACTCAAGAATATTACTGCAATGAACACATTTTTTTTTTTTTTGGGACAACTTAACTGTTTTTATGTTCAATACGTTAACTTAATTCCTTCATGTTGTCCCAAACAAATCGATTGAGTGGAACCCAGCATTTTTTTTACAGTGAATATAAAAACTGAATAAATACACATTTACACAAGTAAATAAAGAGACTCAACGATGGCCTAAAAACTCTGCAGATTTCTGCACGTGCAGACTCTGTGTCGGCTTACTTAAGACATAAAACACCTACACGCTGAAATTTTTTTGAAAGTTACTGTTTTTTATTAGCACAGTTAAGTTGATCATGTGATATTCTGGTTTCTGCCTGGCCTGTTTCACCATTCAAAAGAGCCAGGTCACTGTGATTATCATCTTTTGTCTTTAATGTTATATTGGTGCCACTTTCACCTTCAGAAGTAGTCAGCATAAATTCCTATGAGTAGATGTTTCTTAATGATAATGCAGATGTCTGAGGGCCACAGATCGCTTGATTAGATCTGGGCAGGTGAAACTTCAGAGTCCTGCAAGACCCTTTGAACTACTATCAAAATATAAATAATTAAAGATCACATAAATAATTAATGGTGCCACCCTGTGCTTTGTCACCACCTCTTAGCACTGCCTTATAAAATGTATACATCTGCACGGTAACTGTTCTTTAGATAGATTTTGGTTGACTGCAGCACTGAGAGCACTTCCCAATAAAACAATCCATCAGTTGTGACTTCAAATCCTTGTCAGTTGTCCTCTCTAGCACATATAAACACACCTAGACATAATGCTTTTTTAATAAAGTCTTAATTAAGCTGTTAAGTTAACACTATATATGACCTGATCATGAAGAGGAGCTTGAATTTCTATTGCTAACAGCTTGAAACCTGAGTCTGATCCAATCGTAATCAAGTCGTTAAAATCAGAATGACCTAAATGCAGTGACTGTCATTTAAACCAGGGGTGCCAAACTTTTTTTTTACTGTGATGTGACTGTTGCTCAGTGAAGTTGTAGGTGATCTTTTTCATTAAATGTTTATGTTGTGAGAAAATGCAGCGTGTTTTCTTAAACGGCAGCATGTTAAGCTCTCTCAGCCACCGTACTTAAGCCATTTGCAGTGCATGAAATAGTTTATAACTGTCATAAAAGTTAAAAAAGCACATTCTGCCAGACTGAACATACAGTATATCCCAAACCAATAAAATATTTTAATGCACACAGTATTTTAGTCTTAATCAAACTACAAAACATGGACATTTGCACTAAAACTAAAAAAACCTGTATAATTGTAATGATTACATTTGACTAAGATTGCCAAATTCACTCTTATTTGAGCTTATTTGCTTTAATACCCGCAATAATTTTACGAATTTACTTAAAGAACCACATTATACAAGTACTTTTTGCCCTATATATCTCTGTGCCTTACAGGTAATGTTTCATGTGCAACACCTTTAACTTTATATAAGTTTTGCAGGTGTGAAAAAACTTAGAAAACACTGTCACGTGTTCATTTGTATTAATGAACATTTACCATGAGAAAAAGACAAATGAAAAGATAAGGAAATCTAAATACATTTTATTTTATACAATTTTAAAACATTGTATGTAGTAGCATGCCATAAAATGTTATTTTAAAACTTTTTTACCAGTACACATTCTAGATTTACGAATTTACAATACTTGTAAAACATAATAAGGTAATGTAAAACATGTTAATAATCAAAATAACAACAACAATAAACAATAATCTAATCACACGTTAAAAGTGAATTAATAAATTGTAAATACTGAAACATTAACCGAACCGCCAGAGCTCATTAATATTCATGAGATCTGCCTTGTTGTTAAATGACGTAGAACAACCGTCGTTATCATCTAGCGTTTGATGTTAGCAAACGGTAAGAAAACAGTTACACGATATAATTATGATTAATAACCATCAACACGTTGATTTTGCACACCGAATATGTTACATATTACAGTTTGTTTACAATTACTATAAATATTACTGTATGTTTACATTCCTAATCATGAACAACTGACAGTAACGTTAGATGTTAATGAAACACCGAACATTTTTAGAGAAAACAATATATTAGCCTAACCATGTTGCTTCTTGAATGACAAATAATGTACAATCATTAGCTGCTATTAAATACAATTTTAAACATAGAATAACATTAGTCTGATGTATACAATGAGTCTGAAAACGCGAAGCTTTAGGTTATCGTGTCCATAACAGATCGGTCGTTACTTACCCATAATCCGATCACCCCTTTTCCTGTCCGGTCATAACTCAGTTAAATCAAGTAAAAAGCTTATGTTTGAATGTATCGATAAGCAGCGCATTTCCGATGGTGACTTCCTTCACCTGCTCCTCTTGACAGGAGCCGCTGTTTCTCGCGCACGTGCTGGTTTAGTTTCCTCGAAGCTCCGCCTCCAGCGCGCGCTCACGAGCTCACGAGACAGCATGAAGTTTTCATTTCTCTTCCAGCATGTGGCAAGATGTCCTGATCATTTATAAACTACACGTGCGGAAGGTTCAGGTAAGGCAACAATAAAAGCACATTCAGCAGGCTGCCATGCGTTAAACTAGTGTCAGCAAAGATTAACCACCGTCAGTAAAGATTAACTGTCTTTACTGGTGTAAAATGAACGCCCCCTAGCGGCAAGTTCAGTTGATGCTTAAAGATAATAAACAACTAGGCCCATTTACATTTGTTTAAAAAAGTAATACCCCTTTTGGAAAAGGAGGCCAGGAGTGGTTTATGATTTCAACTTATAAAATAAATGTCTAAAAATATGGTTGTTGATTTAGGAAAATCTAGAAAAATAATAATTTACCTGTCAATATTTAATGTCATATTCTAATCAAGACATACATCTTTAAAAAGAAAAACAAAAATGAATACTTAGGTAAAATCTAATTTGAATAAATAAAAAATAAATATTACTTTAAGTTTATCAGACAAACTAATTTAATTAAACCATTTTATTTGCTAATTTTCACTTTTAGATAAAAAAATAAATGTGTTTCATGCTGTAGTCATTCATCAATAGGCGTATATATGTTTATTATCACAAGTCCAAAAGTGGGTGTGAAATGGGGAAAAGGCAGGGGATGCTCTAGCAGGCACACACTCACATAGATAGACACTCTCATAGATTTTTTAATGGACACTATTAATACTTTCTAATTAGCATTCGATAGATAGATAGATAGATAGATAGATAGATAGATAGATAGATAGATAGATAGATAGATAGATAGATAGATAGATAGGTAGGTAGATAGATAGATAGATAGATAGATAGATAGATAGATAGATAGATAGATAGATAGATAGATAGATAGATAGATAGATAGATAGATAGATAGAGTTGAAGTCAGAATTATTAGCCCCGCTGTTTATTTTTTTCTCTCTAATTTCTGTTTAAAGGAAATAAAACATTTTCAACACATTTCTAAACTTAATAGTTTTAATAATTCATTTCTAATAACTTATTTATTTTATCGTTGCCATTTTGACAGTAGTGGCGCAGTAGGTAGTGCTGTTGTCTCACAGCAAGAAGATCGCTGGTTCGATTCTCGGCTCAGTTGGCGTTTCTGTGTGGAGTTTGCATGTTCTCCCTGCGTTTGCGTGGGTTTCCTTCTGGTGCTCCGTATCCCCTCACATTCTAAAGACATGCGGTACAGGTGAATTGGGTAAGCTAAATTGTCCGTAGTCAGTGTGTGTGAATGAGTGTTTGTGGATGTTTCCCAGAGATAGGTTGCGGCTGGAAGGGCATCTGCTGCGTAAAAACGTGCCAGATAAGTTGGTGGTTTATTCCACTGTGGCGACCCCAGATTAATAAAGGGACTAAGCCGACAAGAAAATGAATGAATTATGACAGTAAATAATCTTTGACTAGATATTTTTCAAGTTTCAAGACACTTCTATACAGCTCAAAGTGACATTTAAAGGCTTAACTAGGTTAATTAGGTTAACTAGGCAGGTTAGGGTAATTAGGCAAGTTATTGTATAACGATGGTTTGTTCTGTGACTATCGTGAAAAAATATAGCTTAAAGGGGCTATTAATTTTGTCCTTAAAATGGCTTAAAAAATTAAAACTGCTTTTATTCTAGCCAAAATAAAACAAATAAGACTTTCTCCAGAAGAAAAAATATTATCAGGCATACTGTGAAAATTTCCTTGCTCTGTTAAACATAATTTGGGAAATATTTAAAAAAGAAAACAAGCATAACAATTCTGACTTCTACTTGTTATATTTCTTAAAGGGAAAGTTCACCCAAAAATAAACATTTATTCATTATTTACTCTCCCTCAAATTGTTTCAAACCTTTTTTGAATTTCTTCCTTCTGTTGAACAAAAAAAAGACATTTTGAAGAATGTTACAAACCTGTAACCATTGACATAGTAAAAAACAAAAATCATGTAAGTTATTGGCTGTTCCTACATTTTTTACAATGTCTTATTTTGTGTTTAACAATAGAAAGAAACTAATCTTTGTGAGCTTTGTGACAAGTGAAGGTTGAGTAAATGAAAAGCGAATAGTCAGTTTTGGGTGAACTATCTGTTTAAAAGCAACTGTAAGAACGATACATTTATACAACTGACATTGAACTAAATACATTATTTGTATTTCGAGTGCTTTTCTAGTACTTGGTTGCGGCATAAAGGGCATAAAGCATATTAGTTGGCGGTTCATTCCACTGTGGCGACCCCTGATAAATCAGGGACAAACCGGAGAAAAATGAATGAATGGATATTTTGAGGACCTTAAAACACTTGAAGCTTAGTTCCCTCACCAAAATCTATTCAGTTTTTTTTTGGAAGTCTTGTACATCACTTCCAGGTCAAATCAGTTTTAAATGCATTATGAAGGTTATAAATAATACTGCACGTTGATGTGGATGCTAACATTACCTTTATTCCTGTCTTAGTGTGAATTAAAAGTTCCTCATGAATAAATATATGTACATATATGGGCAGACAGGTAGTGTAGTTTATGTGTGTGTGGCAGGTTTTGTCTATAGGACCGGATACAGGTGGCAGCTGCTCCATTGTTTCTGCTTCAGCACCACCCGTAGAGAAACTGAGACACTTTAGGCCGAGTCGAGGGGTCGCAGTAGTGAGCTAATCGCAGGAAGGAAGGGCTAAAAGGTCAATTCTTTGTTCTTATGGCCTCCAAGAATCAAACAAGCGTTGAAATATTTATTTAAGTTCCTTGAATGACTACATTCAGATTTTTAAAAATGAGGGACTGTTATGTGATTATGAAGAAAAGGATGAGACACAGAGACACACACACGGAATGAGAAATTAATTTAACTTTAATTTATATAAAATAGGTCTTTGTCCAGCAAAATAGCACACAATATTGTTGAAATCATCATCATCATCACTCTTTACATGTATATTCGTTTGAGTGTGAGTCCTCAACCTGCTTAGACTCTTGCAAACTATTATACACCATAAACATCATGAAATGGTCTATTAAATATTAGTGAGGCTAATCCTCTACACACTTTTTTCTCATTACTTAAACAAAAAGAGGCTCCAGGCCTTTTAAATTAGTACATTAACATACTGAATAACTGGTAAATATGAGGTTATATTATTATAGTTTGTCATTCTGGCTGGTCTGCTATGCAACAAAAACAAAAGGAAACAAAATGACCACATAAAAAAAACATCCTCCTCTTTTTCAAACATGCTTACTTCCTACATTACACTTCCCTTTTCATCTATCTTCTCTTTATAACCTTTCACAAGATGTCCTTTTTTACCTTTCGCATCTCCATCTTAAACTCCTACTAAACTACACTCCCACAGGCCATCTTTAAAACATAACAACAACAACGAAAAATGTATATATTCTTTCTCTCTTCATGAAATATTTTCATTTCACCTGTCTTAAGCCCTATTTGGATAATTGTTTCTCACAGAGACGTCTGTTTAAAGGCACAGTGTGTAATTTTTGCCACATATAAAATTATTTTGGCGAAAATAAGCAATATACACAGTATAAAACATGGGTAGGGAACCTATGGCTCGGGAGCCACATGTGGCTCTTTGACCAGAAATATGTGGCGCATCAGCTGTCTCCCTTTAGTAAAAAATTTAAACTGCCAATAAAAATCTGTTTCCTAATAAAAATACAATTAAAATGACCTTTTTATTGTATATTTTTTACAGCAAAATGAATAAAAATAATTTCAACCAATGCATGTGTGTGGCGCTGTGGATTAACTTGAATTGCGACACCAATAAACGGCATGCAACTTACATTTCTATGGTAAACTTGCACCATAAAACTTAAACAACAATCATGAGTGGTGAAAAGTCAGCAGAATAAAATGTAAATAATAAGTAAATAAAAAATAAAAGAGTTGTCTTGATTTTTTTTTTATCTTTCCAATTGCTAAATTAATTTGGGAATTTGAAGAAATAAATGTAAACAACCTTTTATTTACACAAGGCAAACATCTGACCTGAATGTTTGGTGGGCTAGTTGTGCAAAATAATGTAAAATTATTATATTTTTGTCCCTTGAGAAACAGTTACCATCCTAGTAGGGCTATACATTTTTACATTTATTGACATTTTGATATTTCCCCTGCCACAGAAAAAGTGGCCAATATGATAAAAAAATACTTGCAACAGCATAAAATATGGTTAAATAGCATGAGGTATGCAAAGCAAAATAAATAATCTAAAATAATAAGTAATAGTCAGCACATCTAGTGCAGGAGTGCTGCATTCTTGGATGACTACATTCATTGGTATATTTATAGATAACCTTCTCCTCGAATGCAGCACTCCACCTCTTTAAAATCTTTATAATACTCTTTTATAGATCCTCCTGAATGTGTTGAGATTCACCTGTCTGTAGAATGAGCATTTATCTATATGGTGCCTGAGATTTTCCCCCTGTGTCTTTCAGCAGGCTTGAAGCAGAGCGGGTGCAGGTTGGTACGGATCTGCCAGAACCTTGTAGCGGATCTTGGTGTTGGTGATGGCGCCGTGCTTCTGTCTCAGATGAAGCCTCAGCTGGCTCTTATGACGGAAGTGCAGGTGACATTTCTCACACTGGAAGAAAAGATTAGCAAAGAGTGAGATTTCAGCTCGTAGCTTTGCTCTACTTTAAATGCAAGCAAAGTGTCTATTTGAATGTTTACAACTATGTTTGTGAAAATAGAATGTTAAATTATGGGAATATTCTAGCATTGTTTAGTGTAAAAGTTTTACCCTTTAAAATACAGGTTTATTAGTCAATGTTAGTTAGTGTATTTAATAACACTAATAATAAACAATACTTGTTCTGCATTTATTAATCATAGTTCTGCATTCGGTAATACATTATTACAATCCAAAATTGTGCTTGTTAACATTAGTTATGCACTGAGTTAACAAGAACTAACAATGTAGGACTTTATACTAATGCTGACAAAGATTAATAATAAATTACTTGTTACTTGTTTGTTTGTTCATGTTAGTAAATATATTACTTTATTGTAATGTGTTTCTAATATATTTATGTAAAGATCAAACTTTATTTTAAGCTTTGTAGCTAATTAAGATATTGAACTCAATAAACTACTATTTCCCTTTTTATTGACAGTTAGAAAGGTAGTAGTTAATTTTAGGTAGGAATAAGGATGTAGAATAAAATCATACATCATAAATGCTAATAAACAGTTAATATCACTCATTCATTTTCTTTTTGGCTTAGCCTTAGTCCCTTTATTAATCAGGGGTCGCCACAACAGAAAGAACTGCCAACTTATCCATCATATGTTTTACGCAGCGGATGCCCTTCCAGCCGCAACCCAACACTGGGAAACACCCATACACTACGGCCTTATTTAGCTCATTTAATTCACCTGTACAGCATGTGGGGGAAACTGGAGCACCCGGAAGAAACCCACACGAACACAGGAAGAACATGCAAACTCCACATAGAAATGCCAACTGACCCAGCCGGGGCTCGAACCAGCGACCTTCTTGCTGTGAGGTGATCGTGCTACTCACTGCACCACTGTTATGCCCCAGGTAATATCAATAATATAATAATGATATTAATATAATAGGCAGGTAATAAGCTAAAAGATGACTACTTTTTTTGGCCTGTACTTATTAAAACATTTAATAGAAACATGTAAATGAACAACTGATCAAATGATTGTTTTTAATGATTTATTATTTATATTATGTATAATTTATATAAATGTAAATTATATATATTTATAAAATTGTTTCCTGACTGTTGGATAAAACCTAGAGTAAAGTAGTAATGTTTAGAGATTTAATAAGACTATAAAATAGCATGATGTGGCTGCCCTTTTTCCTTTTCTAAACATGCCTGACAAGTTTTTTGAATATATAAACTATTGTTTGAGTGTCAGTAACATTTTAATCTAATTTGCCTACTTTAAGCCTTTAAATGTAATTTTAAGCTGAATAATAGTATCTTGCAAAATAACTTGTAAAATTGTATGTACTGTCATTATTGCAAAGACAAAAGTAATGAGCTATTATAAATTATTTTTTTAAGACTAAACTTCTTATGTGTAGAAATGTGTCAAATGTTAAACATCACATTTATGTTTTTAAAATAATGCACATTTTACAGCAGGGCCTATCATTTTGATTTATCTATGTATAAATAGGTGACATTTTTTGCATTTTTTAAGTTGGCATCATCAAATGATTTAACATTAGGCATGTTCTGTTAATATTCTGGTGTTAAAGCATATATAAAATATACTGACGCTGTAGGGCTTCTCGCCGGTGTGTATGCGCAGGTGGCTCTTCAGCGTCTGCAGGTGCCGGAAGCGGGTCCCACAGGTGTTACACGGGTACGGCTTCTCTCCAGTGTGGATCAGAACATGGGCACGCAGGTGAGCTACCTATAACACAAAAATACACACACACACACACACACACATTGTTTTTAGTTTGTGATGTTTAAATGCTTGATAATAAAAGTAATTCATGCAACTCTGTGCAGCTGTACCTGGACAAATCTGGCTCCGCATGTGTCACAGCGGTACGGCTTTTCTCCAGAGTGAATGCGGGAATGAGTCTTTAAATTCGCAGGCCGGTTGAACTGTGCGCCACATATATTACAGCGGTAAGGCTTGTCCCCTGGAAACAACAACAATACTTCATCATCAAGATGCATCAAGAATTTCGGTTGGAAGAAGTAAGAAGTTATATTGTTTAATCAGCATAAGTTAATTTTCTCACCTGAGCTGGAAGGTTTGGTGTGTGTGCCTTGGTTTCCAATGTAACTGAGCTGTGTAGAGAGGTTCTCAAACTTGATTGGATGTTGGCCCAATAAATGACCCTGATTGGCTATTTGGCTACAAACATAAGGACTGCAGAGACCTTTTATAAAAGAAGAGGTTGAAAAAAATGAGATCAGTTTGTGTGTTTTTAGCATATTTATTTATAGTAAAGTTAAGAGGTGCTCGCTAACCTTGATCTCCACTGATGGAAAGGGACAGAGGCTGCAAAGTGTGCTCCACAACATGACGGGGAGCGAAAGATATCTTTTGCTGTGATGTGTTGTATGGAAGGGACAAGATTTTCCTAGGGGAATCAAAAAACAGTTAAAATGTCGCACTGGCAGTTTTGTTCATTTCACACTTAATGCATTAATAAATAGTCACATCAGAAGTTGGTTTTCACACACCTGTCATTCAGTCCCGCCTCTTCTCCGTTCCAGATGTTATTTGTTGTTTTAGATGCGGCTTCCATCCTATCACTGGTGAAGGGGGCGTGGTTTTGTGAATGCCGATCCTCTTCAGGCCCCTCCTCTTTTATAGGTGTGGCACACAGAGGGTTGAGGACAATATACTTGTACTTCTTCCAGTTACAGGCCTTTGGGTCAGGAGTGAGTTTCGACTCAGATCGCTTCTGTAAGGATGAATTAGTAGAAAATTAGTAAATAACAAATTATTTTGGTCTAGCAAAACAAACAAAAATTATTACCACATTAGAAAACTTGTGGGTCAGTAAGATTTTGTTGTTTTTTGCAAGAAGCCTATTATGATGCCCAACACCACACACAAAAGCATATTTTAGGCTGTGTTGGCAAAAGCAGTTTTCAGTGTGAAATCCTTAATTGCTGCTCAAGAAATAATATTATTACTATCAATCCAAAAGAACAGAAAAAAAATGATTGGAAGCAATATACATTATACTAGCATTATACTATATGTATACTCTATACTGTAGAGTCACTTTTCATCAATTGAATGTATTCTTTCTGAATTAAAATATGAATGTCTATATTATATATATTTACAAATTTTATTTAAAAGTATAATTTTGTATAAAATTCTTACTGACCGCTGTATGCACAGTTGCACACACCTTTAATTGCGGAGACAGACTGCACCCGCTGGACTCTGCTGGTGAGTTTGGCTGTCCGCTGGACTGGGACGGACTGTCTGGTGTACATGGTGAAGAGTCCTCTAATTTAGTCTGAGTCTTGGGAATAGGAGTTTGGCAAGTTCCTGGATCTAGCGACGCAAAGCTCTCATCTGGAATCCTGAACACACAGTTAATGGATTTTTTTATATATACAGTTTAAGTCAGAAATATTAAGCCCCTGAATAATTCGCCCCCCTGTTTATTTTTTACCCAATTTCTGTTTAACGGAGAGAAGATGTTTTTCAACACATTTCTTAACATAATACTTTTAATAAGTCATTTCTAATAACTAATAATAATAATTTATTTATTATTAAATAATATTAAATAATAATTTATTTTATCTTTGCCATGATGACAGGAAATAATTTTTGACTAGATATTTTTCAAGACACTTCTATACAACTTAAAGTGACATTTAAAGGCTTAACTACATTAATTAGGTTAACTAGGTAGGTTAGGGTAATTAGGCAAGTTATTTTATAATGATAAATTGTTTTGTAGACTATCAAAAAATTGATTAATGAGGCTAATATTTTTTACCTTAAAATGGCTTTTAAAAAATTAAAATCTGCTTGCATTCTAGTCGAAACAAAACAAATAAGACTTGCTCCAGAAGAAAATATTCTCAGACATACTTTGACAATTTCCTTGCTTTGTTAATCATAATTTGAGAAATATTTAAAAAAGAAAAAAAAACTCAAAGCGGAACAATCATTCTGATATATGTATATTTACATGGGATACAGCATAAGTGTCTAAAGCATTCAGATGCTGTATTGTTAGATATAATCCATTTACCTGGCTCGGTCTGGGATGGGATCTTCAGCCTCAGCTGTAGGCCTGGAGGGGGAGAAGACAGTGGGATGAGCAGGTGGAGAACGTCCACCGAGGGCTGTTCTGAAGACTGGCTCCATCAGAGAGGGACTCGCAGAGATCCCTTCACTGCAGACAAAAGAACAAACATGTCAGTTTCATTGGCATGCATTCAGGACCGCTTGCTGAACTTTTGATGTATATGGCACACAAAATAGGACGAATCTCTGACAATTAGTGATAATCATGATTAAATAAATACTGTAGTTTGAAAAGTATGCGTAGTGTACTGCGTAGATTTGTCATAGTTTAATTTACTCTTCATTCACTTGTTCCAAACTGGTTTGACTTTCTTGTTGAAAACAAAAGAAGATATTTTGAAGAAAGCTGAAAACCTGTAACCATTGATTTCCATTGTATTTTTTGTCTGAGTATGGAAGTCAGTGGCTTCTGGTTTTGAGCTGACTTTAAAATATCTTCTTTTGTGTTCAACAGAAGAAAGAAACTTGTAAAAATTTGGAACCACTTGAGGGTGAGTAAATGATGACTACATTTTCATTTCTGTGTGAATTATATGTTCCAAAAACAAACAAAAAAAAGTGATAAAGATAAAAATTGAAAGTGTCTGGACTCTCAATGCTAGAACCTAAATAAAATAAATCTTTGATACAATTAGTTTAAACCTTTTCACTCATGTCACCAGAAATTGTCAGAATTTTTTTTTTACTGCAAAGTAATATTACTTTTATGCACCCACCAGACTCCACTTTCTCTACTTTAGCCTTACCTGTGCTGGATGAAGGCTCTGCAAGTGTCTGCCACATGCTCCATCTGCAGATAGGTGGCAGCGGTGAGCACGCCAGGTACAGTGCGTGGCGTCAGGGGGAGGCAGGAGGTGTACATGAAGTCCAGCAGCAGTGACACACTGCCTGCATCCAGACCCTCTGGCAGAGTCAGAGAAAACCCCTGCTCACCGCAAATACCAGCCACGCGGCGAGAAAACAGAGTGTAGAAGAACCCGCTGTGGGAAAGCACAGATGTTTATGTAAGTACTACTAACAATGTGTTGTTTTATTATTAGAATACAAAGCACACTCACACCCGTAGTTATGTAGTCAGTTATTATGAAACGACTGTTCAGATAGTGTATTTCAAAACATTGGTCACACTGTAAAACCCAACAGTCAACTTTATTAAATGAAATAAGTGTAGTTAACTCAAAACTTACTAAAAGTTAATTCTAATTAATTCTTACTAATTAGTTCATTCTTGTTTTGAACTCTGTGTCGAAGGTAATGAGTTCATTAAATACCTCATTACCTCAACTTAAATGGATTAAGTTCACAGTACTCATATAGATTAGTTTTTAACTCAAATGGTTTGTCGCAATCGGTTTCCTCAAACGGTTTGAGTTGACTTTACTGATTGGGTTTTACAGTACTCAGTTGGTTTGAGTTCTCTTCATTTATTAGGTTTTACTGTGCTCAAATTGCTTCATTTACTCAAATGGATTCATTTGGAAGTTCACAGTACTCATTAGGATTAGGTTATGAACTTAAATGGTTTGTTGCAATCTGTTTCCTCAAATGATTTTTAACATTTTGGGTTTTACAGTGTAGTTTTTTGTCCTCAAAGCACTCTTGAGTGTAGTACTAGTTTCTTAGATGTCTAATCCAAAGCCTTTAGTTTGGTTTTGATTTGATTTTTGACAGCTGTAATTATGAAATATCTGAAATAGTTTGGTGTAGTGATCAAAACCTGCTTGGATTCTATTTTAGATGTGTATTCATATACAGGCCAGGAAGAACCTACGGCCCATTTACACGGGGCATCAGCGTCAACACTTCCCATTCATTTTGAATGAGTGACATCTGGCGTTGCCGAACTGAATTGTGGATCCGTTGGCGCCGCTTCAGTGGCGTTGCTTGCTGCAGAAGTTGGGACTTTCTCAGCATTTCGACCGGGCGAAAGCATCAGCCAATCAGATCGCTTTATGCAAATACACCAGCTCAGACAGTGGCCCATTGGTGACTAATTTCATTGGCTGACGCTGCTATGACAATCACGTCAGCCCCAACTTAAGACATGCCCTCTGTCAAGCGTTGGTGCTGAAGCCCCGTGTGAATTGGGCGTTGCACTTTAGTTGATCATCAGCCAATCAGCATCAAGTATTTAACAGCACTGAAGTACATCTATACGTAAATGAACATTTGCTGCTGTATCTTGGCTGGAGCAGGTGCAATGAAGTCATGCAGTGCCTGAAATAGTCCCAAGCACCAAGCCCTACACCAGATTGAATCTGTGTAATATCATTGGCCCTGCTACAGCCATGGTACAGAAGCAAAGTTCCTTGATTATACACCAGAAAGAGAGTATAGTTCCTAACAATATCACCCTTTGTTTTAGTACATGATGTAACTACAGAATACCGTCAAGCTTTAAATAGGAAAATTATATAATATTTTTGAGCAGGATGCTCATGGTCTAATCAGATTTAATTATTTATGCTAAGCTAAACTAAAAGTGCTCCCGGCAGATCCGGAGATCAGCTAAATGGACTAATAAATGGTAAAACGGTTTAACTCTAGGGGAGTTGTAAATTGAGACTGTTAAAAAAATGAAGTGTTCCTTTGAAATAAACAAAGAAATAACCGCCTGGAAAGTCTGACAGAAGTCTGTCTTGTCTGAAACAATACACTTGTGAGACAATAGATGAGTGCCGCAGGGCAGAGAGTGATATGATCTCATGCAGGAATGAGCGCACTGTCTTCAAACAAAGACAAATCTTGGCACAAACAGGAAAAAAGGCAGAGGGGGGCTGGAAAGAAGTAGTGAGGGAGGGTGCAAGAAAGTGAATGCTGCACATGGCACTCCCTGTTGACCGACCTGCATGCGATGAGCACGGCACAGTGAGCGCGCAGCTTGGTGGTGCCCACCAGCAGGGTGGCATCTGTAAGGATGTCCCGATGCCGCAGTTCGTTTAAGTTCAGCAACACGTCATTGGAATGGCGAGTGAACTCCTTAACATAGCCTTTCATCTCCATCACGTGTGCGGCTGCAAAGGGGCTTCGGTGCTCTTCTTCCATCTGGGTTTAATCTGTTGTAAAAATTTCATCTATTAATATACACATTAAAAATACAGACAAAGCCATATAGATTTTTTTAAATTCGCTTATTGGAATGATTTAAATAGATAAGATAGATTATTAGTTATAATAATAGTTATATAACATTATTAGAGTAATGATGTTTAAAATACAGCTTTGATTTACTTTCACAGTGTCACTGTTCTATTGCATTTTAGTGAGCAGAAGAAACTTGTTCAGAAAAACTAAAAGGTACACTGAAAAAATGGTTTATTGGATTTACTAAACTATTTAAGGTTAGCGATTGCAAACAATTTATATGAGGTGAATTTAAACAAGCAAATTAAGTTGAACATTACTCAATTTAATTTGTTTTGTTTAAATTCAGTCCTTATTAATGGTTTGCAACCACTTGCCTTAAAAAATTGAGTAAATCCAATGAACCTTTTTTTAAGTGTACTGTATTCACATAATATTTTTGGATAATTATAATATTATTACAGTTCAATCGGTGCATTTAGAAATATATTCATACAACAATTAAATTAAGAATAAAATATTGAATGAATCATAATAAGGTGAAATATACAGTGCTCAGTATAAATTTCTATCCATTTCTCAGTGAATATGGGTATATTTATATATAACGGATATATTTATTAAAATAATATTTTAGCCACAGAACATCTTTAGAAATAGAAAGATTTAAATTCATGAAAAAAATAATAATAATACAAACTGCAAAATTGCAACAAAAACTTGATATACTTTTTGTTTTCCTTAATTCTTTCTATTTTTGAAAATTTATTTAATATTTTCCCTGACATAAATTTGGGCTACTAATTTTTAAACCATTAATGTAAGTTATTTTGTTAGATAAGCTTCAGATTTGGCTTCAGTACTGACTAAACTAATGTATATACACAATTATAGAATTGAAAATCTTCCTATAGAAAATATTCATTCCAATGAGAGATTTGTGGGGGTTGTATTCATATATGCTGGGCACTGTATAATATAGTTCTGTGCAGCTTTATAAACATCAGAAAATATGTCTAGTAGTAGTAAGAATTACCACATACCTGAAAATGATGATAAAATGAGGTTCAGAAGCATCAATTTGGGGAGGCCAGCTCCCTACTCGTACCTGCCATAAAAAAAGTATTTTAGTAATCAAATACAAAATAATAACCGTTATGAAGCAACTACCAATATCACAATCATTCTACAAAAGCTATGACTCTGATACTTATTAGTATTGCATTACTCCAGGTACTAGCAAAACTGTCTAATGGGCAAATTAAAAGAAAAATCATTTTAAAATAAAAGTTAAGCAAATGCATCACAACAAATGCAAAGTAAAGCTAATTATTTTGAAAGCATTGATTAAATGAAAATGTCATGCCTTCATTTGTATTTTAGCTGAGTAAGGATGCTTTTTTCCACATTTTGCATTTGTTAGAGCATGTAGCACTCAAATAGTAACAATGTAAAAAAAGGCTGTAAAATTTACAGTATTACTGGCCATTTTTACAGTATTACTGCCAAACTTCCACTGTAAATTAACAATTACAACTTTGCTACATTTTACAATTAAATAAAATTGCTGGCAACCAAAATTGCCAGTATTACTGTACATTTTACAGCAATGCATACATACATAATTCAAAGCATTTAAATGAAATTCCTTATTCATATTTATCAATTAAAGCAATTTGCTTTTAATAAAACATCTGCACAATCTAGACATGCAAAAAAAAATAAAAGGTTTAATTGAGGACTCACCCCGACCAGCAGGGACGAGAAACAAACCGCCCTGTTCTTACAGCCTGTCTCTTCTGATCCCAGCCGCACACATACACACACACACATACAGCCCTCTATCAAACCTCTCTCACACTCAGATGTCTCTGAAAACTGACCGATCTGACCCAACAGAGACTCTCCTTTATAAAGCAGCACAGGAAGTCTCATTCAGTCAGGGTGTTTATTTCCTGTGTTAGCAGAAGCCGCCATTTCAAACTGCTCTGGGGTCAGTTTTCTGTTGTTTCTTACAATGGCTGAGGTCAGAATGTAGACGGTCTCTGATCAGGGGGTGAAAAGCCCCAATGAGTCCTCCTGTCCTGCAGCCCACGCGCGGGACGCTCAGCGGGGAGAGGCTCCAAACTCCCGTGTGTCAGTATTTATAGATGTATATTAGCTGGCTTTGTATTTAATGATGACAGGAAAGTGGGTCGAGTGTGTTTGATGCATGTAGCGTGTGGTTTGTGGATTTAGCAAAGAATGCAGGGAATGTGTGTTTGTGTGTTGGAGTGTGTTGTTGACCTGCGTGGGATGATCAGTATTGTCGGAGGATCAGAAGTCCTGTCAGCTCTGTCCAGGAGTGCAGCAGAGCAAAATGCACAGCACACACTGACTGTCCAGGACTGGGAAACGCTCTCAGAGGAAGTTTGGGCAAACACTTCAGGTTGCTGAATGAATGTAATGACAAGTTTATCTTTTGAGGAGCGAGAACAATGACCAGGCAAATATAAAGGCAGTTTAGAGCTGTGCATTCTCATGCATTTTAGATAAAGTTTGCAGCAAAAATGTCAAAATGTCAAAATCTTAATTCCTATATATTATTATAAAGGAAAAAATATAATAGTTCTGTCTGGTTCAATATCAGAACTCGTACAGCCTCTTCACTTTTTGTATTACTCCATCCACATAGAGTGACAGAAGATCAATAAACTCACTACAGTTTGACAAATATTGCAGCTGTTGGACAACATATTGTACTTTTGAGTTTTTTTTTAGGCTAGATTGTACTTATTTAGATTGCAACCATGCAGTTTATTTATAAATATTCTTATAAATATTATAAATAAAAATAGCCTATTTGAAATATTCATAATTTCGGAGATTAAGTGCATCAGCGGTCATCAGCCTGTCATACAGAGCGGATTAAAGATGCTTGACGTTCTGCCACACGATGGTGACAGAGATCGCATAATAAGTCCTTAGGGGAGAAGGGGAGAGGATTTTCTCAGTGTAAGTTTAAACAACAGCTGAACAAATCACATAACAGAACAGAATAGTGACTTTCTAACAGCTGATTTCTCTCTTTTGTATGTTCTAGTGCTGTATTTATACCACAGTAATCTGGTAGTGTTTCATTTGCTTTGGCTTGTTCAGGGTTAATTATTGTAAAATCTGATTGCACTAGAAATACTGGGAAATCTCTGTAGACTGATGGCATTTCATGCCGTTAGCCTAATCTTAAAATGTGAGCAAAATCACCTGTTTTGTCATCACTTTAGAGATTACGCTAGAAAATCATTCAAATAGCTCTAAATAGACGTTGGTGAAGAAGCAATGGTTTCTGTTGTTCTGACGTCAGCTGTAGACGTGAATGAACGGCAGAAGAAAGTAGTTACTCTCACAAAAGAATTTTGAGACTCTTCATGTTGGATTTTCTTTTTTTATATATACACACGATGATGCAGTTGTACTGTTGTATAACTGTAATGTCACACTCGTAGCAGTGCCATATGGCTGTATATTGTCACTGGTGGGACACGCCTCCAACTAGTGCCAATATACAGCCATATCACACTTATACGAGTGTGATATTTATATATTGCAACTTAAAATTATCATTGCCTGCTGGATGATAAAATAATTACAAAATAATAATAAACATGCACAATTAGACTAATATTTTTTAGGAAAGTGTCTTTTTCTCTTTTTTATGTAAAACTTTATTGGACAAAGCTGAATTATATATAAATTAATTATAATTATAAATAAGTATTAATAAAATACAGGGCGACACGGAGGTGTAGTGGGTAGCGCTTTCACCTTACTGCAAGAAAGTCGCTGATTCGATTCCCGACTGGGTCAGTTGGCATTTCTGTGTGGAGTTTGCATGTACTCCCCACGTTTGCGTGCAGGTGCTCTGGTTTTCCCCACAAGTCCAAATCATGTGCTACAAGTGAATTGGGTAAGCTAAATCGGCCGTAGTGTATGAGTGTGTAAAGGTGTTTCCCAGTGATGGGTTGCAGCTGGACGGACATTCACTGCATAAAACATATGCTGGATAAGTTGGCGGTTCATTCCGCTGTGGCGACCCCTGATTAATTAAGGGACTAAGCTGAAAAGAAAATGAGTGAATTATTAAAATCCATATTATAATTATTGCTCCGGTTTCTTCCATAGTCCAAAGACATGCGTTATAGGTGAATTTAATAAACTAAATTGTCCATAGTGTATGAGTGCCTGTGTGTGTGTGTGTGTGTGTGTGTGCGTGCGTGTGAATAGAATAGTACCAGAATAGTTGGTGGTTCATGCTGCTGTAGTGACCTCTGAAATAGAGACTAAGCTAAAGGAAAACAAACGAATAAATGAATTAATATCAGTATTAATTATATATGCATAGAATGTAGGGTTGTTGTTTAGACTTACTTAGGTCCAAATTTTTCTAATTCTATTTCAATTTTGGTTTGTTTATATTTTTTGGTTTGTCCAAATTAGACCCAATGTTGGAATACAACAACCCAGCATTCTCTAGAGTGTATATTGCAAGGTATTCTTAGAAACAGGAATATAGAAGCAATAATATATATAAAAAATTAGATATGTGATTAAACTTAGAAATAATATCATTGTAACGGGGAGACTGACACGGAGGGATCCATTTTGCAGTATTTATTAAGTCACACTTAAACATCAACACCTCGCACGGTGTGCGAACATACAACATACAACTCAACGATGATTAGCAGATAACAGAGGCAGAGTGATTACCAGGCTTGAGTCAAGGGCAGGCAGCGTGGTTCAGAGTCCGTAATACAGGCTTTAGTCAGGGGCAGGCAGCGAGAATCAGAGTCCGTGTAATCAGGCTTTAGGTCAAGGGCAGGCAGAAGACAGAGCAGAGTCGAGGAACGGGCTGAAGTGGTAAACGGGAGATCAGGCAGGATAGAACGCTCAGAAATGCTGGCCGGGGCTAAACAAGACTTCGCAATGGAGTGTGTGTGTGAGCTGCTTATATGTGGTACGTGGGTCATTAGTGAGATGGAGAACAGGTGTGCTGGGATCTGAGTGAGAAGGATGACGTAATGGTTAGAAGTCCGGAGATGGTGACCTCTGCTGGTCACCGAGGGGAATGACTGGGACCGAGTCGGTGACAATCATAACATATAGGCTAATATACATATAATTTATAATCGATACAAATATGTTACGGCCAACCAGTGCAATTAAAATGTATTAAATAACAACAAAGTAATATTAATTATGATTTATTTTTTGTACATTTCATTTTAAAACTTTCTTTAAAGTTATAAATTAACAAAAGCAATTTTGGTGTAAGGGCGACGCGGTGGTGCAGTAGGTATTGTTGTCGCCTCGCAGCAAGAAGGTCGCTGGTTTGAACCTCGGCTGGGTCAGTTGGCGTTTCTGTGTGGAGTTTGCTTGTGCTCCTCGAGTTCGCGTGGGTTTCCTCTGGCTCACTTCAGTTTCCCCCACATTCCAAAGACATGCAGTACAGGTGAATTGGGTAGGCTAAATTTTCCATAGTGTATGAGAGTGAATGAGTGTGTATGGATGTTTCCCAGAGATGGGTTGCGGATGGAAGGTGCGAAAAAAAAAATTGCTGGATGGGTTGGTGGTTCCTTCTGCTGTGGCGACCCCAGATTAATAAAGGGACTAAGCCAAAAAGAAAATGAAGGAATGAATAAATGAATGAATGAATGAATGAATGTTGGTGTATGTTTTACAATAATCTCAGTCCTGGAGGGCCAGTGTTTGGAATAGATTGGCTTCAACTTCCTTCAACACACCTGCCCGGAAGTTTCTAGTATACCTAGAAAGAGCTTGATTAGCTGGTTCAGGTGTGTTTAATTGGGGTTAGAACTAAACTCTGCAGGACATCAGCCCTCCTGGACTGAGTTTGGGCACCCCTGTTTTACAACATATTCTTTCAGTCTTTAATTCATTTAAACTCAGTTTTCACTGAAATCTCACATCTTTTCAACAAACAACAAGCATCACAGCATTGGTATTAATGAAATCTAGTGCATTGAGGATGCATTAGTAATCTAAATAGGTCATCACAAATAAGTCTGGAAATTGGACTTCCTAAAAGTAATTTGTAATAGACTGGCTGAACTTTGTTGCACAGTAAACACGACCAAAACAAAAGCCACAACCTCAGTTCTGACCCACATCCAGGTCAGCAGGTACAGCCAAATCAAGCCTCACCTGCCTCTCTCAAGGGTTGCCGGAAACTTCTGTCTGGCTTCCTGTGACAGGAGTGTGTGTGCGTGTGCTGCTGGAAGCTTGTTATGGGCAATGGGCGGAAGGAAATAGGAGAGTTTAAAAAAAAGTGATATGGGTGATATCCCTCTCTCACGGCTGAAAAACAACTGAGCGACACCTAGAGAAATGCAGACCGCAGATGTGCAGGAACTCTGGAGCAGCTCCACATTTCACCACCACCCCCCTTAAAGCTTCCTGTGAGACATACACACACACACACACACACAAACACACACACATAGCCAGAAACGGGGATGAAACGCCTGTGCAGGACATCCGTCAATAAAGCCGGCAGGAGAATGAGACAGGGGATATGGGGGCCCGTGTAGGTCTCCAATAGCTTAAAAACAAGCGGAAAGTTACCTCACCTTCTTCACTCGCGGTTCACAGAGAGTTTGGAGGAAAACCTTATAAGTCACAATTAAGTCTATAGAAAATAAGCCTGAATTAGTTTTGTGAAAGACCTGTTTGTTAATGAAATACTGCAGCTGATATTGAATTGTGCATGCTCATTTACACAGTATCTACATTGTTATTCCTTTTAAAAAATGATGTCTACTGTTTGTTTAAACTCCTTATTTAAAAGGAGCTGAAACAACACAATTCTTGAGATGTTTTGGTGACTACTTAATTATTTTATG